AACCAACATGGCCAACCCAGCAATTGCTCCATTGTGATGATTCCCATGACCATCTATTCAGAATACTATTTTATCAGATACAAGCAACACAGGAGAGCCCACCCCAGCTGGCAAATGCATTCCTATCAATACCGTCAACACCTTTCTAAAAGAATCCCAAAGTTCTAAGGACAGCCTTCTAACACACATGGCTGCCTGATGGGTGGAACTCTGTATTTTTTTTCCTGTAATTTGCTTCTTTAAATGTGAATGTGTTACAACTTGCAGCTGAATACTTCCATAAAGATAATTACATATGGCAAGACAGAAAAACTTTTTGAAAAAAAAAATTCCCTTGAATATGTGCCTGAATTCATTTACAACTGTTGCTGCTTTAAACACTTGAGGCAGAATAAGTGGATGGCACTAAACAGCTTAGCTGCAATTATTATGGAATGTCTGAGGTATAATTTCCCCTGCGGTTTTGTTAGGCGTACAAAATTCATAATTCTGATTTGTGGCAGGTACTTATTACCCATCACAGGTGGGGATATGCAAATATTATTCTAGTAGGGGTGAGCAGCCTTTATTTCAGTATTCAGCTATTAACGAGATTTGTGAGTCTGGTACTCTGGGGCCATTTAATTAATTAGATGGTACAGATAAAATAGAAATTGTTTTGTAGGCTACACAATTCCTGAGCTAGGAGGTGTAAAAATGAAGCTAAATGAACTTAGTGTCAATTGATTTGTCATATATATATATATATATATATATATATATATATATATATATATAATCACACACACACACACACACACACACACACCTTCCAGCAAATGTAAATCCTGCTCATTATTTTGCTGTATGTGTTACACTCATAATGCTTAGATTCTCTTAGTCTTGTTAAAATACAAGTTGTATATTTGATTATTTGGCTAAATGACTTTATCCCTTCATCATCATACCCATCGCACTAAGCAGGTCTTACAAAGGAAAAGAATACAGTTGGAGCAGGTCTTTCAAAAGGTTGCCATGTTATTAAGTGGGAAGGTTTTGTTAATTTATAATATTCTGTAGGTGGAAATAACACCTGTGATAAGACTTGGACAATTGCACAGTCTTTAATGAGAGTTTTATCGGGGTCAGTCAAAAACTACCCACACAACTAGATGTAGCTGGAGAAATGGTTACTATGAGTTTGATACCTCAGGACAGTGTGAAATTTGCAGTTACATAATCAATGGAGAGTAAGTTTTAAATTTACCATGCTTTTATATGCTTGCCACAGAATACTGAGCAAAAAGATTTGGGAATTTCCATTGGTTTTATGGGAAATCCCACCGTGGTTGATTAGTAATGTCTGTCATGTTGTATAATCACAGAGTGGTGTTGCTTGTGGTAGACACTTGCAATCACTCATTTATAGGCTTGGCAAGCAGCATAAACATCTTTAAGCATATTGTGGGTCTCTTTAATTGGCAGCCAAGAACAAAACTGTACTTACTTCTTTTCATTTAGAAGACACTAGATTGATGTCATTAAACTCCTCATAAGAAAATATCTGGAATTATTTACTTCAGTTTTAGATTGAAATTAGAAAACAGTAACACAAGGAACTGGCTGGAATTTTTCCTGAGTTAAAGTTGTGCTCACTTTAAATTTTAATTTGAAATGAAATACTAATTCCTTCCTCTTGACCTTCAAATCTTCACCTAAAATTGGAGGTTTGACTAACCATAATACGTTCTTTTTACTGTGAGCACCATTTTCTGTCTTCTACCAATGCTGCTAAAATCCCTGTGTCTTTTTGCTTTGTAATAAAAAGCAAGTGCAGTTCTTTTAGAACCTTGGCTAAATAAAACAAAGGCTGCAGAAGGAAACACAAGAACCCAAGCACAATTTCCCAAAGGGACTTAATAACAATATTTGACATAATTGCAGAAGCAGTAGTGCACACATCAAGTTGACATTCTTGACTGCAGCGCACACTGTTCAGTGTGGAGGCTGGAGAGCTCCGTGTTCCAGGTCAGCTTTCAGAAAGTTTGTTCAGGCATCTTTTGTTAATCTCTGTAAAAAGCCAGGATGGCACAGACTTTATCAATTTAAGAGAATATGAATAAGGTACTAAGGTAATGTGTTCTATATCTCCAAGGGAACCAATTAATGAAGGGTGATAATTATTCATATTCAAAACATGTTATAGGAGCCAAATTAAACAATTAGAAAAAAATAATATTAGCAGAAAAATATGCCTAGTTGACAAAGGAATCGTATACTGAAGGACAGGGCAAGACAAAACCACTAAAATATTTAAAGGGTTTTAAAGATACTAAAGTGATGCCCTCTGGATGGTGTATTTTGTAAAATGCAATTCTTCTGAATTTGAAAATCTTAGTAGTTAAAATGAATATACATGATAAGACATGGATTTTAACTATAAAAATACCTTGAGATATATTATTCAACCTAATATGTTAAGTGTATTACATTATAATACAAATAATACAGATTTAAGAAATGCACAAAATATTGGATATTAAAATAAGTCCTTGCTTTTTCCTTTTATATTAGTTTAATGGGAATACTTTACAGATACAGATACAATATTCTGAGATTATATGTGCTTCTTCAAAGTCCTGGGCCTTAGTAGCATAACCACTCAATAGCTCTGTGGTTGGGGTATTTGGAGACAAAGGAAGAACCACTTTCATTTTCCTCTTTGGAGAACATTGAGGGGTCACACATAAAAGGGATTTGATTTATGGGTAGGAGATGCCGAGCAGGTGTCTCTTGATGGCAGAACTTTTGGGTGGAGATCAGGACCTGAACTTACCTTTACTGAGTTTGACAATGAGCAGAACTGGGTAATGACTATATTACTGGATGCAGTTTTCAAAACCCATTGATTTGTACATCAAAGGGGGTGAGTTTTAATGCATGCAAACTAAGAGAAAGAAAGCACCTCCCAGGAGTGGAAGGGCAAGGGGATTAAACTGTGCATGCGCATGTAACGGGTCTGCTCTGAAGAAGAGGGCATGAAGACACCCGCCCTTGTAACCTTGTAAAATAGTGTGCTCGCTGTAAAGCAAACCTTTACAATTCAGTTAAAAGGTAAAGAAATCATGGGGCTAAAGACAAAAGGAGCTGTTCATAAAGCCTGCACTCCACTACGTATTTCCATTCCTGTGGAGGCACAAATTAGCCCTTTGAGAGTGTACAGTGATGGGTATTTGACACCTGGTGTGATGCTGGAGTCACTACACTGACTGGAATTTGGTAAATAAGTCAAGGGGAATTGAGAGGTGCCATACTCCTCACTGTTGGAAAGAGCACAAAGGGGTTACATTGGAGCTCTGAGCAGGGGTGGAGGGTGGTTAGAACAAACCCGTGGGACTAGATCAGAATCAGAGATACATGAAGAGCTGGATCCTTTGCAGTGGGTCATGCATTCCAGTTTGCTGAGTTCTAGTCCTCCATGATGCATTTCATTGTCTTACTAGTGTTCTGGTCGTGTTCGAACCAGAACAGGCACAGCTGTCTTTTCTAACATTTGACATCTTCTTCTGGTGAAACCATCCAAAATCCTTTCTTCTGGCTCCAGAAAGATAAAATACCACACACTGTCCTCATCTATAGATGCCATACCGAGCAACAGGACTTTTTTCTTCTGTTACCTGTTTGTACCTTTCCACTGACTTCCTCCTTCCTCTATACTTCCTCCTCGGCTGCTGCTCTCAGCTTCCTTTTGAATTCTGCATCTGTGGATGTCAAGTAGCATGAGTCTTCCTGAGTCTGACTTAGTTCACTTTGTAATAAACTCTAGTTGTTTGATGTTGCAAAGGACAGGATGATTTCCTGAATGACTTCATTCTCTTTCTAGTTATAGTTTTCCACTGACTCATTTTTTTTTCAATCTATTTATCAACTGATAGACACACAGGGTATTTCCAATTCTTAGTCATTGGTTGCACTACAATAAATAGGAGCCCAGTATTTTTTTTTTCCTTTGAGATTTTTGTTTCCTTCAGATTCCCAATATCAAACTATGTTGTTGTTGGCTTTTTCCTCTTTGGGGGGCCTGCCACCCAGCTCCCCAATAAACCACACACGGAGGCTTATTCTTACTTATGAATGCCCAGCCTTATCTTGGTTTAGTTTCTAGCCAGCTTTCCTAATATTAAATTATCTCATCTACCTTTTGCCTCTGGGTTTTTCCTGTTCTTTTACTTCTGTAACTCTTACTCTTACTCTGTGGCTTGCTGGTTGTGTAGCTCAGTGGCTGGGCCCTGATGTCCTCCCCTTCTCTGGCTCCCTCCTCTCTCTCCTTTTTCCAGATTTCTCTTTTTATATATTCTCTCTGCCTGCCAGCCCCACCTATCCTTTCTCCTGCCTTGCTACTGGCCAGTTCTGTTTTAGACCATCATGTGATTTACACAGGCACAGTAACACAGCTTCTCAGAGTTAAACAAATGCAGCATAAGCCTGGCAGTGGTGGCACACGCCTTTAATCCCAGCACTCAGGAAGCAGAGGCAGGTGGATCTCTGTGAGCTCGAGGCCAGCCTGTTCTACAAAGTGAGTTCCAGGAAAGGCACAAACTACACAGAGAAACCCTGTCTCAAAAAACAAACAAACAAAAAATGTAACATAAACAAAAGTAACACACCTTAAAATAATATTCTACTACAAAACTATAGTGTGATTTTAATTTTTTGTTTTCCACCATGGCTGCACTAATTTAAATTCCTACCAATGAGGTGTAACAGTACCCTTTTTTCTGCATTGTCCTAGTACTTGTTATCTTCTGTTTGTTAATAAACATCCTTTCTAACTACAGTGAGGTGATATTGCTTTCCAAAGAGACTTTCTTTATGTTGGTGTGCCTATGGTGTGTGTGTGTGTGTGTGTGTGTGTGTGTGTGTGTGTGTGTGTGTGTGTGAGTGTGAAGTTCAGAAGTTGTTAGGTATCTTCCTTGAACACTCTCTATCTTATATATTGAGGCCAGCTCTCTCACTCAAGACTAACACCAGCTGATGTGACTGTCTATGTGCTCCCTGTCTATGTGCTCCCTGTCTCTGTGCTCCCCGTCTATGTGCTCCCCGTCTCTGTGCTCCCCGTCTATGTGCTCCCCGTCTATGTGCTCCCCGTCTATGTGCTCACTGTCTCTGTGCTCCCCGTCTATGTGCTCCCCGTCTCTGTGCTCCCTGTCTATGTGCTCCCCGTCTATGTGCTCCCTGTCTATGTGCTCCCCGTCTATGTGCTCCCCGTCTATGTGCTCCCTGTCTCTGTGTTCCCTGTCTCTGTGCTCCCTGTCTATGTGCTCCCTGTCTATGTGCTCACTGTCTCTGTGCTCCCCGTCTATGTGCTCCCTGTCTATGTGCTCCCCGTCTATGTGCTCCCTGTCTCTGTGCTCCCCGTCTATGTGCTCCCTGTCTATGTGCTCTCTGTCTATGTGCTCCCCGTCTATGTGCTCCCTGTCTATGTGCTCCCCGTCTATGTGCTCCCCGTCTCTGTGCTCCCTGTCTATGTGCTCCCTGTCTATGTGCTCCCTGTCTATGTGCTCCCCGTCTATGTGCTCCCCGTCTCTGTGCTCCCTGTCTATGTGCTCCCTGTCTCTGTGCTCCCTGTCTATGTGCTCCCTGTCTATGTGCTCCCTGTCTATGTGCTCCCTGTCTATGTGCTCCCTGTCTATGTGCTCCCTGTCTATGTGCTCCCCGTCTCTGTGCTCCCTGTCTATGTGCTCCCTGTCTATGTGCTCACTGTCTATGTGCCGGGATCACAGGAGGGCTGCCTACCTGCCTGGCATTTACATGGATGCTGGGGATCCAGACTTGCACTTGTACAACTAGACAGTCGTTTTCGACCTTGAGCCCTCACCCCAGTCCCTCACTACACTTTTTGATTTACATTTCTCTAATGACTGTTGAACATCTGTTCATGTACTGTTTGTTTGCTTTCTTTTGAAAAATATCTGATTGGGACAACTGCAATTTTTAAATCAGATTTTTTTGTTGTTGTTGTTTTTCTTCTTTTGGTGGTTCTTGTTTTGCTACTAAACTGAATTCCTTCTGTATCTTGGATTTTAGATCCTTGTCAGGTAAACAGTTGGCAGTTTTTTTCCATCAGTAGATTATAATTTCATTGTGTTAATTTTTTTCCTGGGCACAGGCTTTTGTGTTTGATGTTATTTTTCTATTAATCTGTCAGATTGTCTATCTGTTAGATGATATTATTGCATTTGTGTATTTTTGCTTTGTGTTCCTTTACCTCTGTGTTCTTACTTTAAAATACATCCTTTATCATTCCATATCCTCAACTATTTTCCTAGGGTTTCTTCTAGTAGTTCCATGATCTTACACGGAACTTATTTTTAATTTAATTTTTTATTTGAGAATTTAATTCATGAATATTGCATTGACATCATTTCTGCCCTCCCTCTCCACTTCCAATTCAACCCTTAACCCACCTCAAATTCCTGCTGAGTCTATTTAATGTCAGTTACAGGTACTGTAGGGCAAACCATTTGGGATTGGATAACTAACCTGTCCAGGAACTAATCCCTGGAAAAAAACTGATTTTTCCCTGTTTCAGATGCCATCTACTGCTTGTAGTTTTTCATCTAGGAGTGTGGCCTTGTGACATTTCCCCCATTCATGTTAGCTTGTCAGCTGGGGTTGTCACTCTTCATGTCTTGTTTAGTCAACCATATTCTTGAGGTTTCATGGATGCAGATACCCTGATGCAGCTGGAGACTGTCTGGCAGCAGTCATGATCCTCTAGCTTTTACATTCCTTCTACCTTCTTTTCCATGACTTGCCCTGAGCCTTAGGTATAGCATTTGCATTATGTGTTGACTAAACCTGGGTGTCCCAGAGTAACCTAGTCTCTGCATCTGCATTTTGACCAGGGATCTCCATAGTAGTCTCCTCCTATAGAGAAAAGAAGCATCTTTGATGAAGAGTTAAAGCTATGTTTAGCTGTTAGTATAAGGATAAACATTGAGAGTGCAGTTAGAAAATATGTTGGTTTAGGGAAATGGCAGTAGTAGGTTCTCCTTAAGAGTCTGTGACATCTCCAGACACTGGTAATTACCTAGGTTTACACTACCGGGCAAGAAGTTCTTCTTATTGAGTAGGCATTCACTCTAACTGGATAGTGTTGGTTCCTTCCAAGATTAAACTATCACTATTGCACCATCGGGGATATCTTCCCAAGCTCACCATTGTTGTAGTTTATATGCTTTACAGCTGGGTAGGATTGTTTTCTTCCCTTCTGATACTATGAGAGCGAGTGCTCATGGTGGAAACTTCCTTATCAATTCCAACTCCATTCCTCCAAGTCTTGTGTCTGAAGTACGTGGTGTCTTCAGCAATAGGGTCTTGCCTTCAAGTTCTTAGAGGCAACCAAGGACAATGGCAATAGCCATGTTTATATAATATATATGTTTATATGATTATATATTATATCAATATATATAATAGCCATGTTTATATAATGTGTGTGTGTGTGTGTGTGTGTGTGTGTGTGTGTGTGTGTGTGTGTGTCTGCACATGTCACAGTAAGTGAAAGGACAGCTTTCAGCAGTTTTTCTCCTTCCAACATGGAGGCTATGGAGATGGAATTCAAGTTGTCAGGCTTGGTGGCAGGCAAGAGCTGTATCACCAAGTCCTTTTGTTGCTGATTTCATATCCTGAAACTTAGAAGAATTTGCTCTTAGTTCTAAGAGAATTTCATGGATTCTTGGAGGCTTTCTTCATTTGTTATATTTGCCTGATTGTCCTGGTTAGGGATTCCAGAACTTTAATGTATGAAGTAGTGAAAGTGAACATCTTCAGTGTTTTTGTGCAAGTCTCAGAAAAAGTGATATTTGCTATGAGTTTCTATGTGGCTTTTATTCCTTTGAGGTGAGGCCTAACTTATTCATAATTTCAGATACTGAAGGATATTGGATTTTTTAAAATAGTTTTCTGTATCGAAATAATCACATAGTGTCATACTCACTTCTGTTAATGTGTTTATCACATCTATGTATTTGTATATGTTAAAGCATCCTTTTTCTTCCTGGGACAAATGCCACTCATGGTGAACAGTCTTTTAAAGTGTTGATAGATTCTTTTGGTCTTTTCTAGTACATGATTTTGTACTTCTTTACGTTAACAGTGTTGGTCTGTAATTTCCTTTTTTATTGTGAGTCTTGTTTTTAGTATCAGGCATCAGGGTGATAGTGGCCTTGAAGAAGGACTTTAAAAGAATTTATTCTTCATCTTGGGGGAAGAGTTTTAAAATATTGATATACCTCTTAGGATCATTTCTATGGTATAGTAGATATTCTTCAGTTTTTATATAGAAAGCTGACCTAGGTTCTTTGCATATATGTTATGGCTGATTCGCTTGATCTTCTTGTGAGATTCCTAACAGAGGGAGCGGGGGCTGTCTCTGACTCTCTTGCCTGCTTGTGGGACCCTTTTCCTCCTGCTCAGTTGCCTTGTCCAGCCTTGATGTGATAGTATGGGCCTGGTCATATAACAGCTTTCTATGCCGTGTTTGGTTGATGTCCCTGGGAGGTCTGCTTTTTTCTGAGGGGAGGCAGAGGAGAGTTTGAATCTGAGGGAGAGGGGAGGTGAGGAGGGAAGAGACTTGGGGGAGGGGAGGGAGGGGAAATTGTAGTCAAGATGTAATATATGAGAGAAGAACAAAAAAGTAAAAAAAAAAAAAAACCTGGAAAACCACAAGGGAAAAAAATAGAAATCTTCAGTGACTCCATCTGTTTCTGATTTAATTTGGTGAGAGAGTTTTTATTACTGATTCCATCTCTTTATTCATTTCTTTTCTAGTTTGTATAATAAAATATACAAATATAGCATGTTAAGAAATGGGGGTTAATCTTGGCTCACAATTCGAAGGGATATAGTCCATTATGGCAGGGAAGATACAGTATCAGGACCATGAGAATTGTTGGTCACATTTTGTTCATAATCAGGAAGCAGGGAGAGAGATAAAGGTTTGTTCCTACCTCATGTGCTCCCTTTTATTCAGTCCAGGACCCTAGCCCATGGGATGGTGACATCCACATTCAGGGTGGCTCATTCCTTCTCCGTTAAACTTGTCTGCAAATGCCCTTACATACACATCTCAGGGCTATCTCCCAGAGGCCTCTAAATGCAGTCACATTTATAACTGAAGTGAGCCATCATCATCCCTTTGCTTATTATTGGTATGTTAAGGTTGTCAATTTCTGTATTCAATCTATCACATTGAATGTTTCAAGGGTTTCATCTATACTATCACCATTTTGACATAAACCCATTGACATTTGTGACTGATGAGCCTTTGACTGTTACTTTTTATTTCTGATTTTGAGTCTTCCTTTTATTTTCTTTTTCCAGATAAGACCTTACTGATTTTGCATTTTTAAAAAAGTTGAATCTTGTTTTGATGTTTTTTGTAATGTTTGAGTTTCTCCTTTATTAATTTTGCTCTTTATTTTGTTTTTAATATTCGATCTTTCCTTTTGCATCTTTTTCTGTTATCTGCATCATAACACAGTGATGTAATAACAACTTTTAAATTATTTTATATTTTTGTTTTCACACTAAAGTCATACACATTTTGTATGACATGCTTGCAGTATCATAACATTCGGAATTTGACCATATACTTATTTTATTATTAAAATTTTGTGATTTCTGACATTTTCTTCTTGGTCATCAATGTCTCTTTCAACATAAGTCCCATTTTAGAATTTTTAATAACACAATGCCATATAGTGATAAGTTCTCCCAACTTTTCTTATTGTATAAATTTCTTTGTCTCTCCTTTAATTTTAAACTTATTTTTCTTTTTCTGCAAGGTTATTTTATTCTAATACTGTATGTGCATGGGTATTTTTCCTGCTTGTATGTCTGTGTATCTCAGCCTGGTGTCCAAGGAAGCCAGAGAAGAGTGATGGATCCCCTGGAACTGGAGTTACAGACAGTAGTGTGCCACCATATCACACGCTGAGAATTGAACCTTGGTTCTCTACCAGAGCAGCCGGTGTTCTTAGCTGCTGAGCCAGCTCTCCAGGTCCTCTCCTTTAATTCTAAAAGGTTACTTTTGGGAATATAGTGATATCCATTGTCATCTTTTCTTTTCCTTCAGATTGTGAATATTTCATCTCACTCCGTCTTGGCCTGTAAAGTTTCTGTTGGGAAGTCTACTGCGAGCAGATTAAAAACTTTTTAGATGTTGTCTATCTCCTGTCAATGACTTGAGGGCTCTCTTTGTCTTTGAGAATTTGATTACTATCAAATTTGAGAATTTGGTTATTGTCTTAGAATAGTCCTAGTAGAGTTAAATCTGAAAGGGAACTCAGTCCTTTCCATACCTGTATATCCTCTGTACCACTGAGAAATTTTATGTTATTACCTTTTCAAATAAAACTCCTATACCTTTGGTACTCTCGATTTCGACTTCAGGCCCTGTTCCCCATATGTTTTCTGCTGTGATGCTTTCCCAGAGTTCCTGTAAACACTGTCATTTCTGTTTGTTACTTCTCCTTTTTTCAACTCCAGCTTTACATTTTCAAATGTCTTTGAGTTCATGGACTTTATTTTCTGTCACCAAATCTGGCATTAATGGTGCCTACTGTGGTTTTTTTCTCCCATTTACTACACTATTAAGCTCAAAGATTTGTTTTGAACATCTTACTCTTTCTATAACGCTCCCTTGCTTGCCTGGCCTGTGAATGTGTTTTTGTTTCATACAAAGAAAGTTAATTAAAAGATAGGAATGAAAGAGAAATGGAAAGTGGGGGGAAATACGGTATTCTGAAAAGTGGGATGAAAGGGATGAAATGTGGACTACTCCATACATTGTAAGAGGGTAATACGGAAGCAACCCTGAAGCCCCAGTCACTTATCTTGACCCCAAAGTCTTACAGAAGAAAAATAAGAGTTCAAATGCTTGTGTGCACTTTCCTTATAAGAAGCATAGAAAATGGGAGTCAGGGGTCAGAGCTGTATCTCTTCTCCCCCTGTCCCACTTAGCCTTGCTCTGTAGATATTGTGGATGGGGTTCTAGTAACAGGAAGAATTCCCTCTTAACGCTTCTCTAGTTCTCTCTGGGACTCTCATCCAAGCTTTAGACCAATTGGATCCTTTTGTGTTTTGGATCAACGTACAGCCATCTGGAAAGGGATTGTCTGAGCCACAATTAGTAATTCTCTGGTATGAAACCAAGTCTTCCAAATAAAATAGTGCAGCCTTCAGTCTGCTAGAGCAAATCTTTCTTTAAGCAGCCATCAGCTGTACCTTTCGGGTCAATCAAAACCAGAACTAGTAAAGGGGGAGAAATAAAAATAAGTGAAAAAAATAAAGAAAGAGACAATTAAAAATAGCTAGCACTTTAGGTTCCGTATCCATATTCAAACATGAGGAATCCTGGCCTTGGACATAGACTTCCTTGGCATGATAACTTGGATTCTTGCTTTTCTGATGTTTGTTCAGTCTTCCAAAATGACAACCATGAGAAAGCCTTGGTAAATGAGTTTATTTTGGAGATTTGTTAAGAATCTGTTCACTGCTGGAACAGCATACCCAGAGGAAAAAAATTTAAAGTCATTAACACTTATTCCAAAAATAAGCCACTCAGCCTGACACCCTTCACAGAGCCACGGAAGGGAAGGCAAGCGGAAAGGTTCGCCTTTTCAGTATGCTCTGAGGACAGTGTGGTAGGAAGGAGAGCCTTTTCCCCTAGCACAGAGTGAGACCCCCCCCACCCCTCAAGGCTGGCTAGCGAAGCTAAGCTACAGGCTCTTTGGAAAAGCCTTCTGCAGAAGTTCAGGTCCTAAAAAAGTCAAGGCTGTTCTGTTGTCTACTGCATTAAGCTCAGTGTATAAATTAGTTCAGAAACATCAGCAAAACTAGAATAATAGCGTAATACAGGATGCTCTGGATGCTATTACAAAACACTTAAATAGTTGTGACCTCCTTGCCCTAAGAAGAAAATATGAAAACAGACAGATAACACTCTTGTTACCTGCATAAGGTCCTTTATCTCACTACAGTCTTCCTTCAACCAGTTAGTTTTGTGCTCCTAGATTCCTATATCACCAACAAGGAAATTATATTTTTATATGAATCCTATCACTTTCATATGTGTTAAAATAGATTCATCAATTTCATATTCTGTATGTGTAAATTTTCAGGTAATTTACTTAAAATGTGGATTTTAATTCTTACACTAGTTTTAGATTTCCAGCAAAATCTAAACAGTTCAGAAGTTAGAGTTCCCATGTGCCAATGTCCCTATACAAGCATGGCTTCCCTTATTGTTAGTGTCTTATACTCAGAATGGTATGTGTTACAGTCAGTACAGCTATATCCACATATCATTTTCACCCAAAGATCGCATTACACATTGGGGTTTCTTCTTGATGTCCATTCCACAGGTTGGAGTGGAAGTTAGTGGGCTGTACTTTTTCTTACAGAGGTAGACAGAAATGCTTGCACTGTCCTGAAGACACTCTATTTTCCCCATTTATCCTTACTCTGCAACCCCCATGGCTCCGAGCATCATCACTATTTTACTATCTCCTTGATTTTGCCTTTTCCAGAATGCCATTTCGAACTTGATACTACCTAGCCTTTTCAAATTGGTTTCTTTTCACTTTAAAAGTTGCATTTCAGGTTCCTTCATGCTTTTTCCTATCTCAATAGCTCATTTGTTTTTATTTCTGAATGGCATTTCACTGCCTGGATGCATTATTTATTTACCCATGGGAGGCTATTGTAGTTACTTCCAACTTTTTTTAAATTGTGAATGAAGGTACTGTAAACACCTGTGTGCAAGCTTTTGTGTAGGTGTAAGTTTTCAACATTCCTATGTTAATCTCAGTGAATGTAACTTCTGGATCTGTTTGGTTTTGTAAGGTTCTGTCAAGCTGTTTTACAGTGGTCATACCAGTTGGTATCTCTACCAGAATGAATCATGCTCTTAAAAATCTATGGATCTACACCCCACTAGTACATGATATTTGCAATGTTCTGGATCTATTCAGAGTTTCTCCTTATCGAAAGCCTAAAGGTAGCTCTCTTTAAAAGCAGTCCTGGATTTCATTAGAATCAAAATAAGAGAACTTTTCTTTGGCAGTGGATGAGGTTCAGTGATATTGTTGTTCATGGTGCTCAGAAACTTTACCAGAATCAACTTTTTAAAATAATGTCACTTAGGGTCATAATGTCACACAGTGTTTTTCATTTAATTGATTGGATTGACATATGGCAGTTATTCTTTTTATCTGATTTTATTACCCACAATGTTTATTGAACATTTTTATGTCACTGAAATCCAACTGCAAATAATAAATGTTTAATAAGTGTTTTGAACTCAATTAACTAAGTTTTATCGTGTGTGTGTGTGTGTGTGTGTGTGTGTGTGTGTGTGTGTGTGTGTGAGAGAGAGAGAGAGAGAGAGGGGGGGGGCTCTTTTACATCCATTTGAGATGGAATGTAACTAGAGATCAAGAGGACAACTTATGGAAGGAATCCTTTTTTTTCTTTCACCATACAAGTCCCAAGGATTGAACTTAAGTTGTCAGACTTGCCAGCAAGTGTACTTCTTACCTACCAAGCCATCTTGCCGCCCCTCAACCTGATTTTAAATGCACTAGGAAGGTCAGATGGGAAGTTTGTAGACCCTTGTGACACAGACCAAGTATTTGTATTCATATGATTTAACCTAAGTAGGTTTCTTGGGCTAACTTTCAGGTCTTAGTATTAGAAAATAAGATTCAATGATCAGGTATACTCAGAAATGCCTTCTTATCTACATTGCTACAGCTTATATCACTTCTCCCTCATAATAGTAAGGAGTCACGAACACAATAGAGTCCACATGTTACATATTATCTACTTGTAGTAAAATTTTATTCAATA